TCCATCCATCCATCCATCCATCCATCCATCCATCCATCCATCCATCCATCCATCCATCCATCCATCTATCTATCTATCACTTTGTCGTCTGTGTGAAACGAGCAGTGAACCGTATCTCTGAAGCCCCCGCCCCGCCGCTGTGTTACCGGGAACTCCCCCTAACTTCCCCGGTTCTCCTCAGCTCAGTCTTCCCGCGACCTGTCACACAGTCACACACACTCTCTCTCTCTTTCATACACACTCTCTCTCTCTCTCTTTCACACACACACTCTCTCTCTCTCTTTCACACACACACCTTCCGGAGCCGCTGCGTGTTGAAGCAGACCTCAGTCTGCTCCCTTTGCGGCTCCCCGGCAGCTGTGTAATCCCGCAGTCCGCCTGGATCCGGGTCGTGACAAGAGTTTTTGGACYACAAGGAGGGACCAGAGGAAGGTAAGCAGCGGTGTGTCAGCCGGGGGGGAAAGAGGRGCTTTCTTGCTCTGTTTGGACGGAACTTACAGTGAGATCGACCGTCTTTTCTGTTCGGGAAACTCACCGTGATATCACCGCCTTCCCTGCTCCTCCGTGGCGGGCATCAGTCAGCTGCATTCCCCCTCTTTTTTTCCCCTCTCTCCACAAATTACGTGTTTTACGAAGTGTTTCGATCTGCGCTCGCAAAGCGGTGCGTGTATATGCGCGCGTGCCCTTCACATCGAACGAGGCGGGATCCTGCAGTCGTGTTGTGGACGTTACGACCTGAAAAAAGTAGCTCGTGGACATGAAACTTTAAAAGGAAAGGCCCGCACGCGCTCGGCTAACTTGGATTTTGTAAACACAAGAAGTTAGCTTGAAGGTACAAACTAGAAAACAAAACATATAACAAGTTTACCGTGAGCTACATCAAATGGTGCAGTTTGAAGGCTTTTCCTTCGCTAGTTCTCCAGATATAGTACACAGTTGTGAAATGTGGGTACGCGCTCAATGTAAACAAAGCTGAATCCACTAATAAACTATTGGAAGTTTGAGTCAGATGATTACCTTTTAGCAAATATGGCAAAATGGGAATAATATGAACTCTCTAAGACAACATTTAGCTGGACGAGTGAGTCTGCAATGGAAAAAAAAGAACAAGTGAGACAAATGGCTAAAAAATACGTTAATATCAGGGACACAGCTCATATAAACACACAGCTTTTGTGAAACTTCGTTTATAACTCGAAACCTATTTATCTCTAGTCCCTGATTTAATATATAATATACATCTTGATGGTAAACGGCTCTTTCGTGGATGTTGGCCCGTTTTCAGACACTTTGGCTGTTTCTGTACGTAAACAAACCCACATGGTTGTTGACATTTGTTTACAGGTTCTGCTTACTAGTTTTTCTATTCAAGGACAGATTTACCATCAAAATGAGAAATATAATGTGCTGATTTTGTTTATTACTTTATGATTGTTCCCTCCCAGTGTTTGAAACAAATTTTAGACTAAAATTATTAGTGTTTGAGTTGTTTACGTTTGGTGTCTTTACAGGAGACATACAATACTGAGCACTAACCAAAAGTAGAACATGTCTGTTTTTATGTGTCTCCTGTTTTTACACGTCCTTCAGTCCTCCTGTAACATGTTGCTGTGTGTTCTTGCACACACACATGTAAGCGACCTGCTGTGTGATGATATCCTCTCAGGTCCTGGCGAGGTGGGGGTCAGTCACAGGGTCTCCCCTCTGGAATTCTCCTAAAATAGAYGTGGTCCACACACACACATGAACACACTCTGAGGAGCCATCTCCAGTCAGATTAATGTCTTTTCTTTTAACGGTCACCCAGAATGACACATAAACCATTAGCCTGAAATGGATTTCAAAGCGCCACAGACTAGAGTGATGTCGCGCTCTCGAGTTCGAGCCTGTTATTCTTCTTGACGCTGACAATGTTTCCTTTAGCTGCGACTGCTTCATCATTTGATTTCGGCCCCGTCAGACCCACTTAAGCCTGACGCTGTGTGCATGTGCAGTTTTTATTTTTTGCTTTCAGAAGCAGTCTGGTTGTTGATGCTGATGGGTTTTATTGTTGAAGCTGAATAACTTGGATAATAAAGTCAGTTTGTCACTTCWCATCACCTGTTATTCTTATATTGGCCTTATTTCTTTTTGCACAGTCAGTCTCAAACCATTAAACGTTAAGAAACTCTTGGTTATTACTTCTGCAGAACATTTAAGCATTTAGTATTTTTCTGCTTGTTGCTAACAGGATGTTTTGGATGTGTGTGTGTGTGTGTGTGTGTGTGTGTGTGTGTGTGTGTGTGTGTGTGTG